AAAAAAAAACAATATATCGCGGGGACTAAAAAAAGAAGAAAAAAATAACATGTTTTGAGTGTCAGACTAAAAACAAGAGGAGATTTTTTGAGTGGGGGGGTTTAAGAAGAAACACCCCAAACCATCTATCCCCTGCACCACCGGCGGTTAGCGCAAACAAATTAACTGCACGTTAACCTGCCCAACAAAATTAACCAGCCCAAACCCCACTTTTGTCTTGGCTGAGAGCTATACTGAAAGACCAAAAACCCCCACTCTGCCCCTGACCGGCGGACACCGGGGAGACTTTCTGGCTGGGTAGGTTCAGGAGGCCTAAAGCACGACCGGCAGTCCAGGCCACGTGAAAGTTAAAAATATATTTGGTCAATTCCACATTTGGATCACCTCCTACAACTAACACTAAGCATTTCAAAAATTAAAATAAATATTCAGTGAGTATCGGCAGTATTGTAATTTGTACATCAACTCAGACATTATCTTATTACATTATCAAGGACACAAAAATGTATTGTGAGGGCGATCCGAGTATAAAGCATAAAGAAAACAGCAGTTTTCCCGTTACAAACGCAGCATGCCGTTCAGCAGAACTCACCTCCGTTGGTGGCTGACGATTGAGTGAACAGACACAGTGGGTTGGTGTGTTTATCTTCTACGTACGACCTCCCTTCCTTTTCAACCTTCACAAATCCTCCGGTTTCCGGCACCATCTGAACCCTCACACCATCACATTTGCCTGCTCTTCGTCATCACTGGGTTTCCGTCACCAGCCAGCTTTGGGTTTTTCCCAGAGCCCGTTTTAGGTTGCCCCAGAACTGTTTAGCCACTAGCTCCACCACCCCCACCCCCTCCACCCTCCCCAGACAGCAAGGCGGCCCCTCCTTGGGGGAGGGGGGTTGTTGCTCTTCCCCAGCCTCCCACTCTCCCCGAGAGATGACATCTGCGGATCGATCAACGGCCGAGCGTGAGTTGTACCCCTATTTTATACACGCCGTCCGTACTGTGTCTGTTCCTGCGCCGCGGAGCGAGCTGGACGTCACCGCCGGTGTTGTGTTCATCGCGCCCGGGCATCGCTCGTTACGACGCGGGGGATGCGGGACATGATGGAACAGTCTCACGTACACGTCCTTTAAAGCAGCCGCGCCGCGCTTTGGCGACATCAGCATTATTTTACACACACACACACACACACACACACACACACACACACACACACACACACACACACACACACACACACACGTGCACACGCACACAGGCAGACACTTGGAGACTGACACGCGCGCGCGTGCACGGTGATAATGCCACGGCCGCGGGCAACCTTCAACTTCAGCTCAGAGCTGGTGGAACGCGGTCAGAGGAGAAGTAGCCCACATTTGGCCTTAATATCATTTTTTTTAGCAATTCATATTTGTGAGAAAAGGAAGAAAACGGAGCGACGGGCTTTAAAAAATAATGTACAAATTAGGCTATATTGGCATTGAACAAAAAAAAACATATATTACATGTGTGCAATTTAATCTAAAGAAAAACGTGGTTGTTATCTAACTCCTCCCGTGAAATAGGTTAAGGAGAAGAAAAGGATGCGCTCACACGGCTGAACATCCTGTATTCGATGAAACAATGTTAACAATCTGTAGACTCACACACTCGTCACATTTTCTCTGGAAAAGCTTGTGCTGGATATCTGAGTGAGGATGTTTTGGATTATTTTGTGTGCAGGTAACAGCATTTATCTACAGTGGATGTTAGACTGTTTATCACTCGCTGGGATCATCATCTAAATGCATTCACAACAGTAATAGTAGTAACCATAAAAACTATTTTGTGAACAGAAAAGGCACGTGGTCCCAACTACTGCACTTCTGCATGATAATGTTTGAAATGACCATTTTTGTTAGAAGATTCTATACAGGCATCACAGCTACATTTACTCTATACGTTGTCGTCCCTTCCAATACCAAAAATAGTATAAAGTTTATCGAGGCTTTTCCCCGAATACCTCAAACGTTAAAGCGTTAAAGCTACAGGAGCATTTTAGGGATTCTCTCCTCATAATACGGTTTGTATGACAACATTTTGCGGGCGGTCTCCTTTGAATATCCAGCAATACGTGTTGTTAGTGATGACGCTTGTTTCATCCATACAGTGTTTTCATAATTAACTTCCTTCCTCACAGGAAACTGCATATTAAGAGTAAAAACAAATACATGTTAGGGTTCAAACAACTGGGGAAGGAACGTTAGTTACGTACCAATGTTTTTGGACTGATGAGACAATATTTAGCTTTTGACAACTAAGTATAAATAAGTACACTTTGACTTCTCTGGAGAAAGTTTGGGTGTTTTGGGTATTTCTGTGGAGAATTTCAATACCTCCATTAGTCGTGATATTTCAGTCTGCAATCATAGTGTCTTTAAGAAGTTTAAATGGCAACAGCCTTGAAATTGACATTTTTGACTCGCCACTTTATTTTTCTACAATAGTGACCATATTTGGACAACGGAGGAGTGACTTAGAGACACAACATACGCCTCAGGTAGAGACACTTCTATCAGAGCGTAGACCCGCCATGAAGCGCATCCTGCTTCATGGTCATTTTCAGTCTAAATGGGCCATAATTCGCCAAATGAACGTCATGCTCTACTGAAGAAGACTTGGAACTAGAGATTGAGACCATAAACTCATGTTTACACTGTTTCCTGAGGGAATGAATCAAGAGGGAAGTGGAGTCTTGCCTGTTTGTGAAGGCTTGAGAGCGGACAGCGACGTGGTGCTGAAAGGCAGCCTCGCCGCTCTCTTGGGGAAACACGCAGGGCTGACAACCGCAAAAGAGGAGCGCTGAATACTTACTCATGCTGCTGGCATTCAGACCTCTGAATCACACGTTGATACGGGCCCGATGATGGTCGGCCCCGGGCCAGCGTCTGTCAGGCACGGTCACTGTAGCGTCCTTAAAGAGGGGTCAGTAGGCTACAATCACAACTCCCACTCTGATCTCAGCCGTGCTGCCGTCACTTGTTTCCACTTTTCATTCCCTCCCTTTCGTCAGCTTCCTGTGGCGTCGCGTCCAAACAGGCTAATTTAAGGGAGTGAATCGTGGCTTCACCCCGCCTGCTAATCACCAATCACAGAGTGGATGTGCTGCTTTGCAGTCTCTCTCGTGGGCATTTGGCTTGCTTTTCTGCATTTTCAGCCTCGTTAATCATGTTTTTTCCACTTTCTCCCGCACTTTTTAAATTGGATCCCAGCGAGGTCCTCCACGCTTGAAGCTGTTGTGTAATGTGCTTTGTTATCTGCTGATGAGTGATGCTGATGCTGGGTTCTTTTCTGGAACCTGATGCAGTCTGAAGTGAGGTTATGAGTAAGCCAGCAAATTTATTCTCAGGAGGAAATGGCCTTTCGGTGTGATTCCAGTATCCAGTATTAGATAACTTACGAGGACACGGTCCCACTCAAATGTATTCTAATTGTACATTTGCGTTGGTCGATGATACCAGCACACTTAACAGGAGACCTCGTCGATGTAACCACCAGGTTGTCTGCGTTATCACGGATGATTCATAACCGGCTGCACAGCCACCAGCTCCTGTTCTGTCATTTAATTATTGTCCTTTGAAGCTGCTTTGTTCCCGCTGACCTTGAGGAGAGCTGCTCCGGAGTAACCGCTTCAATATGTCGAAAGGAGGTGCGTTTCCGTGGGTATATTTGTCTCTGTCGAATGAAGCGAATTAATCCGAGCTTCTTTCTATAAGCGCACATTCGCTTTAGTCAAGCGTGTAAACACATACACAAAATACAAAGAGGAAAAGTAAAACGTCCTCATAGCTGCGTATATAAAGCTAACTGTCACTATTGGTGTGATGTGACACCTTCAGTTTGGACGAGCAGACGGTGGTTGTTCCTCTCCATGAATGTGATCGTCCATTTTTGGCAGATGCTGAAAACGAGAACCAGTGGAGGGCAACACGACGTAACATGTTTTACTAAACACAACTGTACTCATCTCCTGTTACTGAAAACGTCCTGTAGAGGCAGCTTGGACGTAATGATGCACTGAAATATTCCCTACAAGATTGAAGCCATTGAGCAAACAAAGGACACGACTTGAAACTAATCTACTTCATGAGTTGCTTTCATTCAGAACAATTGTGAAATAGCCTTTGCCGAAGCAAGGAAGCCGGATTTGTGTTTCATTTAGGGGTCTTATCCATAGTGAGAGCGTTACATATTTAAGCCACCGAAAATAAAAACCTGCCTAAAATGTCATCTGTATCCGTTTCAGGTTATGCTATATTTACAACATGTCCACCGTGTAATCTTGCCATCAGACAGCGCTTTCCAAAGGGAAAGTGAACTGAAAGGGAGATTTTATACTTGTTCCCTCAACATAGAGACAGCAGGATTATTATAGAACATAATTATTGTTTTCTTCATCAAAGATAATCTTCACAAGTCATCAGCTCGTTTTAGGAGTTTTGAAGCGGAAGAAGTAAAAAGCTAACTTCAGCCTCTAAAGGAACTTCACCCCGGTCACATGACCTGGCGTCGCCACCAAAGGGGAACGAGTGTGTTTTTTTAAGACATAAAAGCTTTTGAATTCACAAGAGGGGTGCTTACTGACCTTTATTATACCGTAGAGCAAAACGTTAAGATCTCTTCAGCTTATGTTAGACACAGGCCTAAATTAAGAGATTCAACCCCAAACCCAATGACTTTGAGACGAGGGAACAGGGAGTGCAAGAGTGCAGAGACTCGTTTTGGGGTTTTAGGATTCCTGCAGGACTCATAATACTAACCTCTGGAAATGAAGTTCTGTGTGTTTGAACAAAGGGAAACAATCCATGTTTTATCCCTGGAAATGTGGTATGTTTTACCATGAAACAAGCGTTATGATCATTTAGCACACACATTACACATTAATAATTGTGTGGCTAAATGATGCTGTGGTTCCCACAGAGTTGGGCTCAGACGTGAGAATATGAGGTCATTTATCTCCCTCTGCAGGCTCTTGCCCAGCGGCGGGCAGCATATATTAGACCTGATACACACACACACACACACACACACACACACACACACACACACACACACACACACACACACACACACACACACACACACTGAAGAAGTATCCTGCTTAGAAACAGTGCTGACATAATTCACAAGTGCTAATTTATGCAAAACCTATTCCGTTTCCCGCCAATGTCTCTGCTACTTTTCCTGACTCATTTTCGAATGTTTTCTCCTCTGCACTATTACGCTATGAGTATGTTCATTTACATAAATATGGACTTTTATGTCAGCTCCACTCTTCAGCTATGATTACCTTCATATACATAAACATGGGCATGGATGTATGTGAGCCACTAAATGAAGGGGGGGCGAGCGGAGGCCCTGCTGACTCAGGAATATTAATGAACGGCAATCAATCCAACTAACCATCGCCTGTCCTCAGGCTGGACGGTATTAAAAAAATAGACAATAGTCTCTTTTTGAAGTGTGAGTGATGAAGGTGAGTCAATATCATTTCACTTTTTTTATTCCCTTAGAAGAAGAGAATTAACCAGCACAGACAGCCGGCTGTTGTTGCCTATCCAGACGGACCGATGTGCCTCTTAAACGGCACAAAATGCTGCAGATTCTGTGCCAAATCAAAGCTTCTCATCATTGCAGGAAACAAAAAAAAGGGGGAAAAAAGAAAGACAGAAAGACAGACAACCTTTCATTTTATATGAACAAATATCCCCACACTTCATTTGCGTGGTTGTTGCTTTAAGTTTTTCCCTCAATTAAAGTGATAAACTGTTGATGCTGAAAACTGAACCTCTAACACAAGACCCGTATGATTTGTACTTTAAACTTTTCCTTCAAAGCACCTCCTCAGGGTTAATGCAAATTTCCACCCGTCTCAGAAATGATGCATTTATGGTCATTGCTCTTCAGCCTGCATCACTTTGTGCG